CATTCATACATTAGTTTTCTAAGTAGAGGGTAGAATAAAAAGACTCTTTAATTGGATGAACAGCCTGGAGGTGGGGAGGAGTAATATTTGTGAAAAGGTCATGGGAAAAGGTAGAAGAGGGAGGCAGGGTGGTATCCAGGAAGTTATTAAATTCAAGATAGGCAGTATTAACTGAATGTCTCCTATGGGCTCAGCCCAGAGCTGGGCCACAAGAGCTATATAAAGCACAGGATCTCCCTACCTTTCAAGAGCACCCGCCCACTCTCTTTGGAGGGACAAACTAAAACTGTACCCATGCAGATGAAAGTTAAGTGATAGCCTACGGCAGTTTGTGGTTAAGTAACAAGGAGGCTGTTGCAAGAGTTCAGAGAAAGAAAAGAAGAACATTTGGGCTGTAGGGCTACATGGAAGATCTGAGACTTGGGATTTGTCATGAAAGAGGGATAGGTTTTGACAAAGACCAGTAACTAAGGCCAGGTAAAGAAAGTGCTGCCATTTAGAGGATGCTGACAGCACACCCTCAGAAAGAAGTTACCAAATGGCTCATGGGTCCTCCCTCTTGGATCATTTCCACCACCATCCTTTTCCCCAATCCCAGGCAAAGCAGCCTAGTGCCTTCAGATCTGGCCTCCAAAGGTCTCTCCACAGTAGCCCTTATCCCAACCTTTGCAACAGAATTTGTCTTGAAAAAAAATGTTTATTTGAGGACATTCTTCATGCTACTTGCTCCAGTCAAGCTTTATAAAGCTTATTCAAAGTGTGAAAAATTCAATTATGGCTCTAGGGTTTAGACCCTAAGATAGGAAACGGTATCCTAAGAACAGGATATTAGCAAAGATACAAAGTTGAAAAAGACAGTATGGATTGCTCCCACGCCAAAGAAGGCAGTCATAACATGGTGAACATGGATTCAGAGTTAGGAGCCCTGACTTCTAAATCCAGCACTGCCACTTACTGCCTTTGTGACCTTGGTCAAGTTACTTAACTTCTATGGGTATCAGTTTCCTTACCTATAAAATGAGAGGAATGGATTAAAGAGATGATCTCTGAGGCTCACTCTAAAATCCTACCATCTTATTTTAGGTCTAAGAATTATAAGAGGGATTTTACTCTCATTTATTCAAACCCTTTCTAAGATGGTGGAATAGTTAGTGTGACCACACCAAAGTTGGACAAAAAAGGATAAATGTAATAAATCTTTTCCCCACAAGTAGGAATATATGTACGTATGAGTATATGCATCTATAGTTTTGCTTAGTTGTTTTTTGGCTGTCCCTGACTCTTCATGACCCCATTTGCGGTTTTCTTAGCAAAGACACTAGAGTGGTTTGCCATTTCCTTCCCCAGCTCATTTTACAGATAAGGAAACTGAGGCAGATAGGGTTAAGTGATTTGCTCAGGGTCACACAGCTAGTAAGTGTCTGAGGCCAGATTTGAACTCACAAAGATGAGTCTGACTTCAGGCCTGGCGCTCTATCCATTGCTCCATCTAGCTGCTGTATGTGTCTATATGAATGTGTATAAATGTGCCTAGGGGTGTATGGGAAGTGCATTATGGCTTCTTGGTTATTCACCAGTGGCATTTGTATTGTTTGGGTTTGGAGAGCCTGCCTAGAAAAAGGAGTCTGGAAAAAGGCCTATTTGTGTATCAGAGAAAGCAATTAAGGTTGTTTAGCCTGGAGAAAAGATAGCCTGGTAAGTAAGGACCAGAAAGCTAGCTATCTTCAAGTATTTGAAGTGCTATCAGGTGAAAGAGGGATTAGATTTAAGATTTTTATATATTTAGGATATTATATATATTTACATTTATATTTATATATTTAGGATAAATTTAAAGCAAGATGGAGTCATAAAGGTAATCTAATTCAACCACTTCATTTTCCAGATAAGGAAACTGAGACCCCAAAGAGGTTAAGCAATTTGCCCAAGGCCACACAGTTTAAAAATAGCAGATGGGGGATTTAAACCCAGACCCCCTTAACCCCAAATCTAGCACTCACAACCACAAATTAGACATTTTATATTTTGCATAGCTAGACATCAATTCCCAAATGATTCTCAGTACATATCTGTTGTTAAAACGGGCCAAAACTTGGGCCAATCCACATGTTAGCAGCATCTTCTCTGACATCTACCTCCTCTGTTTCCAGCCATCTCCAGCCCAGGATCTCTCAGACCTTTCACACTCATACTCACAAGGTTGCCTACAATCCTGAATATGGCACCTTAAAGCAAATGCTCCATCTCTGAAGATCAATAAAGAACTAACACCATAAGGGGCAATAATAGCAGGCAGGGGCTATAGTGCTTAGCTGAGTTTATTGACAAGGTGCCACATATAATGTTGTTGTTGTTTGTCCTTTGTTGTGGAAGAGGACCATGACATCTGGGAGGTGATGCAATGAAATGCAAGTGGATTGGATTTAAGTGAGGGAGGGCTGTGCAAAGTCACCAGCCTCATTTTCTCCTCCAGAGCCATCTGGGTCCAGTGGCCAGATATAGATCAGGACAACTGGAGATGGCCCTGGATGCAGTGGGAGACCTTGACCTTCTTAAGCAAAGGTCTTTAACAGGTCTCAGGAGGGACACTAAGAAGGTACATGTAATATGAAGGTAGAAAAGAAACTTTTCTCCTCCTCCTTCCCCCCACCAAGAATTACATGATACCAACAGCCAGTAAGGAAATGAGAAGCAGAAGGGCAATTACAATTTTTGTACATTCACTAGATTATCAGCTCTTCCCACTCAGCAACGAGCAAGACTTCTCATCTTGAGCCTTTTAGCTCTGAATCATATATGATTCAGAGTCTCTCCTCCCAGCCCAGCTAGGAGGTACAGTAGATAGAGCAATGGGCCTAGAGTCAGGAAGCTGAATTCAAATCTAGCCTCACACATTGACTAGCTTTGTCACTCTGAACACATCACTTAACCTCCTGTTTGCCTTAGTTTCCTCAACTGTAAAATAAGGACAGTAAGAGGACCTTACAGGGTTGTTGTGAGGATCAAATGAGATATTTGTAAAGTGTGTAGCACAGAGCTTGGCACATAATAAGCAATTAATAAATGTTCATTGATTGATTATTGATCATTTCCAACCCCTTATCCATCTCACCCTCTCTCCTGCATTTTACAGAGGAGAGAATAGAGAGGAAAACTAACTTTCCCAGGGTTTTCCAGCAAGTTCATAACAGAACTCAAATTTGAGTCTTTTCATGCTTGTCTCATGCTGGCAGGCCTCATATCAAATGTCTTGCAACTGGTAGGTGTCAATAAATAAATACACATTAACAAGATTTTTAACAAAAGAAGACAAAACAAGTCAAAACACAAGAGTACTGATATCAGACTGAACTCTACAAAAGGTAAAAAGAACTGGCTGAAGTGGGGCTCAATACTATATTGTGGGGATTTTTCATTGATTAGCTCAAAGGTTTTCAGGTGATGAATTGTAGATAGAACACTATTCCAAAGGTTTTAAGATGTCTGTGGTTACCCCATTTCCACACACCTCTGGCTCTGCTTTGCTGGGAAACAGACTTAGCCTTTATTGGGGTCTCTGCTGCCATCTATTGGTCAAAGTCAGTAAATCTCCTCCCACATCCAGTGAGTGGGAGGCGAATGAAAACAATGTGGCCGAAAGACACTAAGGATCAAAGAAACATATGGACTATTTGACTTCAGACATAATATAGTCCTGTCCTCTCCTTTTACCAGTGGGGAAATTCTTAAACTAACCCCTCTGCTTTACAAATGGAGGCACAGACCTAAAAGCCAATGAAACACAGCTGTAAGAGAAGGGTGTGTGGAATGAGTAGGGTTCTCCCTTTCTTCAAGATTTAAGTCCCCCCTTCTACAGGAGGTCTTTCTGATTCCTCAGCTGCTAATGCCTTCCTCATATTGCCTTCCCTCCATTTTGTATAAATCTTCTCTGTAAAAGTTAACTACACGTTGTCACCACCATTAGAATATATGTTCACTAAGGGCAGAGATGGTATTTTACCCTTCTTGGTATTTCCAGACGTTAGTAATGTGCCTGGGGGCAAAGAGTATTTGCAAAATGCTTGTCTGACTTAACAGTCTAGCTCAAGAGTGGGGACCCTTCGGCCTCGAGGCCATTTGTGGCCCTCTAGGTCCTCAAGTTCAGCCCCCTTGAGTACCTAGAGGACTACATATTGCCTCGAGGCAGGTTCCAAAATCCTGGTGTAGATCTTCTCCAGTTCTCCCAAGCCCTTCCTTCTCAGTTCTTTCAACTGAGTTCCACAAACTTGGTCAAAACTGTTTCCCTCTCTGGGTCTGCTTCTTCATCTGTAACACTATTTGAAGATGTACTAAGATTAGCAGTTGCCAAACTGTGAATAAGAACTCCTGAGAGTCCCTAAGACAAAGAAGGAGGTCTGGTAGGTCAAAACTATTTCCATAATATTTTAAAGATACTATTTGCTTATTACAATATTTCTCTGTCTTTCAACTCACATCTGTGTGAGGCTGGATTCAAATCAACATATCAAAACGGGTTAAAGCCAGAAGTACACCTGAGAATTCACCCTACTAAATCAAGTATTTACAATAACATATTAAACACCACCCCTCTTCACTAAATTGTACTTTATTGTTTCTCTTAAAAGACGTTTATGCTCACAGGTGAAAAAACACCTCGCAATAAACACGTATTCCGTACGTAGAAAATACGTACACGTAACCTGCCTAAACAATAAACTATACCTTAAAGCGTCTTTAACTCCGAAACTCAACGCGACACCCGTGAGGCCGATGAAGTTTTAACTCACGTAACACCAGCAATTACAATACGTTCCTCTTCAGTCACTGACCAACAATAACGATGTACACACGTAACCCACACACCTTTCACCACAACGATAGTCTACTGGCTAATTACTTCCAACACCGCCCTCCAAAACCTACCTCAGACAACAACACCTCCCTACCACTAGCAACCCAGCAAAACAAATGAACTCTAAAAGTCTTCTACATCCGGCTCAAATCAGATGGGTTATGTACCTATGCGTAACAAGAAAAACAGGACGGCACATCTCACGCAATCGCGTGCAAAAACCCACTCATCACATTTATGAACCAGAAGGATCTAAACCATGTGAGCCCCATCAACAGACCTCAGAGTTCGCCATTAACTTTTAGCTGAGCGCGACCTCATAGCCGCAATGCCTATGCAGAATTTATTAAGTCTAAGGCTTTTAATGGACGAAGTCCCAGCCTACGAAGCTTTTATTCGTTTTCATTTTCATCTGATGAAGATAAAAAAGGAAGACGCCTCCAAGATTGGGGTTTAATTACCTATGCAAATATATTCGACTAGAGACTCCGCCCCTCACCTGCCCCCTCGCTTCTCTCCTTCCCGGGGAAGAGGCGGAGCTGAACCTTGCGACTGTACTGGAAGAAGCTGGCCTGGTGCTTTACGACATTAGTTATTACATGCTCAGGTGCCCGAGAAGGACGTCCACAGCAGCCAAGACCCCGACGAAAATTGTATACCGCTGTCCCGAGCCTGGAGCAGGGAAGATGGAGGAGTTCTCTCCTCCTTAGCTGAGCTAGGGGTGCCCTGATCTTTTTTGAACCCCTCCTGGCCTTACCCTATATCTGGAGTTTCTTTATCCTTATTTTCTGGCTGGTTGGGTGCGGGGCTGCTTCCCGCACCTCCGTCCCGATAGCTTCTGGCCACAGCCCCGCCCCACCCCCCGCAGCATGGAGCTGGAGAACCCCAGCGGACCCTCCCCTGGGCAGACCTTCTCCGGCCTCCTGCAGCGGCTCACTTGCCAGGGCGCACCCAGCACGAAAAGGGCGGCCCAGGACCCAGCGGTCCAGGAGCTGTACTCCCTGATAGGAGCAGCGGATTGGCCCGCGCTCTTGCAGGGGGATCCCGGGATTCCCCAAGCGCTGGGACAGGTGGCCCGCACTCTGTGCGGCCAGGCAGCCCCACCCAAAGAAGAGGATGCCCGTGGCGCCCCGGCAACCCTCGGAGTAGAGCGAGCAGCCCGCGTCGGGGCTGTGTTCCTTGGGCTACTGGAAAGAATGGAGGCTGCCAAAGGCTCGCTGGGTCCGGCCGGGGTGATGCCCGCACTGCGCCCCGCCGCCCCGCACATCTACATCTTCTCGGTCACGCACTGCCAGGAGCACACGTGGACCAGTCCCGAATCCCAGAAAGTGGCCCAAGAGGTGCTGGCCTTGCTGCTGAGAGTCACCGACTGTGTGTCGGTGGCAGAATTCCTCCGAGGAGAAACTGAGGACCAATCAGGCATGTTCACAGCGGTGATGGGTCTTCTCAAACCGGAGCTGAACAAGTGAGTACGGTAGGCTCTCTGGTTGGCTTCATTTTAGCATCCTAGAAGCTTAGATGGAAGATCTGGGTTCAGATGCAGGGCATGTCACTTTAAATTCTGTTTGCCTCCGTTTTCCAACCTGTGAAATGGCATAATCATAGCACCTACCTCCCAAGGTTGTTGTGAGGATCAAAAGAAATAATAATTGTCGAGGGCTTTGCACAGTGCCTGGTGAGGGGCGGCTGGGTGGCAAAGTGGATAGAGCTCCAGGAGAGAGCTGGGCCTGGAGTCAGGAAGACCTAAATTAAAATTCAGCCTCAGACACTTAGCTGTGTGACCTTGGACAAGTCACTTAACCCTGTTTGCTTCAGTTTCCTCATCTGTAAAATAAGCTGGAGAAGGAAATGGCAAATCCAATGTGTTTGCCAAAAAAATACATAGGGGTCATGATAAATGTAAAAGTTGACTTGAAAGGGAACATCAAAAAATCTGGTCTGGTCACTTCCTGGCAAATTAAGGAAGGTGAAGTGTCTGATTTTATATTCTTGGGCCCAAAGATCACTGGAGAGGGGATGCAGCCATGAAATTTAAAGACACTTGCTCCTTGGAAGGAAAGCTATGACAAATCTGGACAGCAGAGACATCGCCTTGCCCCGCAATATATGGCTGTGAAAGATGGCCTGTCAGGCAAGCTGAGCACCCCAAATAGAAGCTTTCACGTTAGGGCTCTGGGGAAGACTTTTGAGAGTCCCTTGGGCAACAAGGAGATCATATCAGTCAATAATTAAAGAAACTAATTCAGGCTATTCACTGGAAGGTCAAATACTGAAACTGAAGCTTAAATACTTTGGCCTACATGCAATGAGAAGACAAAATTCATTGGGAAGTCCCTGATATTGGGAAAGATTGAAGGCAAAAGGAAAAGGAGAAAGCAGAAGATGAATGAGATGGATAGAGAGTGTCATGGAGGCAGTGAATGTAAACTTGGAGAGACATAGAGGGATAGTGGAGGATAGAAGGGCCTGGAATGCTATGGTCCACAGGGGTCACACGACTGAACAACCACAAAAACTGCCTGGTGCTTAGTAAGTGCTACATAAACATTAGCTATTATTTAAATATGTGTAGAGGGGGATAAAATGAGATGATGTATGTAAAGTGCTTCGGAAATCTTACATTCACAGATGCAAACGCCCAGCGTCAGACAGCTAGCGTGAGACAGAGCTGGGCTTCAAACCTTGGTCTCTCCTTGACTCCAAGTCTGTGCTCCTTTCTGTATACCTCATTGTTTACCCAGAGGGCACCGAATTAGAAGTGAGGGAAGGGAAAGGAAGAGAGTTAAGCATGTAGTGCTTACTATGTGCCAGGCACTGTGCTAAGAGCTTTACAAAGATCTCATTTGATCCTCACAGCAACCCTGGTTGTTCTTATTACTCTTATTACTACCATTTTACAGATGAGGAAACCAAGGCAAATAGAGGTTAAGTGATTTGCCCAGGATCACACGGCTACTAAGTGTCTACACCAGATTTAGAAATGTAGGTTGTTAATATTTTACTGATATGGAAACTGAGGCTCAGTGCAGTTAGTTAATTTTTTTTTAATTTATAAAATGGTATAGATGCCTTTTGGTTTTATGTAACAGAAACTTCTATCTCCTCCTCTTCACCCCACTAAAATCTTCCTTGTTACAAAGAAAAAAAAAAGTTTTGAAAAACCCAGAGATACAGTGACCATATCAGGTAGTGTACACAGCTTTATGCACCCATAGCCCTCCATCTTTCCTGCAAAAGCAGGATAGTATGTTATATTATCCATTCTTTTTAACTGATTTTCTCAGCCAGTTTCAGGGCAGGAATAAGACAAGAAGCCAGGTCTCCTGATTCCTTTTCTAGGCTGCCACATGAAAGAGGGGTTAGAAGCTTCAAAGAGATTACATTGATATAGGTGGCTCTAGAATGAGGAACTTCCCTCTACCTATGCAGGTTGACATCTTCTCTGCAATGTTTTAGAATTGTATTGAGAGTTGAAGTAACTTTCCCAGAGTCACAGCCAGTATGTGTCCAAGCTTAGACTTGGTCCCCCTGCCTCCAGGTACTGTCCTCTAGCCACTCTGCTATGATTGCCTCATGAGGCAAGGAAAACTTAGTAACAATTCACCTTTAGTACATGTCCCCCTCCTTAGAGTCATGAAGCGCTGTCTAGAAGAGTGGTCATGTAAATTGTTCTACCCTGAACTCATAATATGTGCTATTTGTTTCACTTGTGACACTAAGTCACATCCCTTTATGAAATAGCTCATATTTTCATTTTTGCATTATTATTTAACTCTTGTGCCTCTATTTATTCATCTTCACTTAGCAGATATTTGATCAAAAATATTTTGAATTTTGTTCTCCCTGGCATAATGTACTCATTGTCTGGGTTTGAAAGATTTGGACTTTATAATTTTTGATTAAAGCTATTTCCAGTACTTGTCAAAAAAAAAAGAGAGAGAGAGAGAATTTAGGCCACAATATGTCCAGACAAACATATTTAAGGGTGGACAAGGACTAGAGTGAAAGTGAAATAAATTCATATATTCAAGGTGTAGTCATAAAAAGACTTTTTACTTTTCTTTATTTTCCTACACTGAGGCAGGGTGATGAAGGCTGAAGAACTGAAGAAAGCTGAAAACAGTGGTACAGGAATTTAGCCCAGATCCTGGTTCTGCTATCTACTAGCTCTGTGACTTTAGACAAGTCCCTTTGGTCTCAGTTTCCTCATCTGTAAAATGGATTGGGCTAGATGACTCTGATTGAGCCCAGCTCAATCAGGTTATAAATAACTAAAAGTCCTTCCAGCTCTTGATCTGCGATTGTGAATGTATATAACAAAGCACTTTGTAATATGGGAAGGAAAAAAATGTAAAAATACGAGTTAATTACTCTATTCCCTTCGCTACTAGGGGAAAATGAATGGAGATTACCTTAGCACCCTATATACTATATCTACAAACATATGTGCAGCGTCCAGGGGCAGATACCTGTAATGGACCCGTTAGTCCCCACAGCCAATGCCATGGATAATTGGCCTTAGGAAGTAGAAAGATGCTGTTTCATTCACAAGCAACGCAGAGCACCTGAGTTACTCAGGGAAGGTGCGTTGGAGGGAGGAGGAAGGTGCATGCTCTACTTCTGTCCCGTTTGTTCAGAAATAGGAATAGTGTGTTTTACATGAAACCCTTTGGTTCTTATCACAAAATCAATTTTTGCCTCTCCAGGGAATCCTGGAAGAACAACCCTGCCACGAAGCACATATTTTCGTGGACTCTGCATCAGGTCACTAGGCCCTGGCTGAGTCATCATCTGGAAAGGATCCTCCCTCCCTCCCTGCTCATCTCAGATGACTACCAGACTGAGAACAAAGTCTTAGGTGTGCAGTGCCTCCATCACATTGTGCTCAATGTGGTAAGCAATTGCCAGGGATCAGACGTTGACCCCGGACAGTTTTCTGTCCAGGTTGGGAGGATGCTTTAATGTAGGATGTAGATCGCAAATACCATTTTGAGCGATGCTAATACAGCTTGTCCTGAAAATCTTCCATAACAAATCCTCAATATGCTGAAGGTATTCCTTTCTTTTTAACATATATCTTGGGGGTATCAATGTGTGTTTCATTCTCACTACATGGGCTAACCCACCTCCACATCTAGTCATGATATCTTTTAAAAATATTTTTTATTATTTATTTTGTTAAATATTTCTTAATTATATTTAAAATTTTTTTTCATTCATTTTTTTAAAGTTTGAGTTCCATATTCTCTCCCTCCATGCTGCCCCCCCTTACTCCCTGAGTAAGCAAGCAATAGCAAATCAATTACACATGTGAAGTAATGCAAAATATATTTCCATATTAGCCATGTTGCAAAAGAAAACAGGTACACACAAAAACAAGAAACAAATAAAGTGACAAAAATATGCTTCAATCTGTACTCAGAGTTCCTCAGTTCTCTCTGGAGGTGGATAGCATTTTTTCTCATAGGTCCTTTGGAACTGTTATGGATCATTGTGTTGATCAGAGTAGCTAAGTCATTCACAGCTGATCATTATACAGTATTGCTGTTGCTGTGCGCAATGATCTCTGATTCTGCTCACTTCCCTTTGCATCAGTTCATATAAGACTTCCTAGGTTTTTTTGAACCCATCCTGTTCATCATTTCTTATAGCACAATAGTATTTCCAGTAGTCACAATGATATCTTTTATGCTGTTTCTCCTGAATAATTAAAGGTCATACATTTAGAATCAAAAGGGACCTTAGAGATCATCTGGCTTATTCCTCTTATTTTATATTGAAAAAAATAATGTGCACAGAAGTTAGGTGACTTATCCAACCAAAAGCTTACTTGTTGAAGCAGCAGGGCCCAGCAGATGGAGCATTGGACTTGGCACTCAGGAAGACCTGGGTTTGAATCCTGCCACAGGCACTGGCTGTGTGACCTCAGGCAAGTCAGTTAACCTCTTTGTGCCTCAGTTTCCTCATCTATAAAATGAGGAGTGTGGACTGGATGACCACTTAGGCACCTTCTAGCTCTTCATATGTTTTTGCTATGAGATGAAATTTAAACAAGTGAATTTATTTCCCTGCCCACCTGATGTGTGGCAGTAATCACAAGTAGTACAATGACCTGAAAGGATGCCAAAATGGACTGCAAGTCAGCGGACCTGGGATCAAACTGTGGCGGTGTATAATCTAACTTTGTGACTTTAGGCAAGGCATTTCTTTAGACCTCGGGTTCCTCATTTCTATATAATTAGGTCGTGGAGTAGATGACCTCTAAGGTCCCTTCACCTTATGGTTCAGATTCACTGTGGTTCTACAAGACAGAATCAAAACTAGCCTCCATGATTTTAGATTGAATAATCAGGCCTTGAGTAATTAACAGTTGACAGTGTCCGATGTGGTATAGGAAAGGTGTTTGAAAGGCTGAATATAACCCTCTGTCAGGCCCTCTTTCCTTTAATTGGGTTCTCTGTCTCATTGCAGCCAGCTGCTGATTTGTGCCAATTTAACAGATCACAAGTCCTCTACCACGCCTTATTCAATCATCTGTACACACCAGAACCGGATCTTATCCAGGTAACTTAACTTGCTTATAAGCCTAAATATGGATTTTTCAAGTGTGGACAAAAGATAGCATGTGTGAGAAGAAGAAATAACTGGCATTTGATTTACATTTTGGATTCTATTTATAGCTATTCCAGGTTATAAATAACTAAAAGTTGTTCCCATTTTGATTCTGAAAATCGAGTGAAAATGCCAACTAACTAGTGAAAATATATAAATGCAAGGAGATAGCCACATTCCAAATTCTCCACAAAAGGATTCCTGGTCAGACATGGGTCAGACACTGCTTTGTCTCTTTCTTGGGGGCAGTTGGAAGGGTGTGATCATGTAATTGAAACAAAATTAGTTTTTTATGACTAAAAAGATAACGATGGAGAAATATTCCCTTTGTTCACCCTATTTCACTTCTATTTTTTGCAACTACTTAGACCAGATGTGGTGACCCACCCATCTAATCCCTGCTGACAGGGTAGCTGAGACTGGTGGATCTCTTGAGTTTAGGAGGGCCAAGAGGTAGTGGGTGAGGCCCCAGAGCTGGGTCACAAGGTTGCCTAAGGGGATCGGGGGGAGGGAAGAACTGGCTCAGGGCTGAAACGGATCAGAGCTCCCATGCCAATCAGAGTGGGAAACAAGGGAAGGGAAGGGGAAAGAGAAAAGAGAAGGGAAGATAAGATTATGTCCTGGGTTTGCTAAAATGGTTGCTCTGCTGTAGAGCTTGTTACAAACCAGAACCATCTTGGATCCCTTGAAGAGGTTATATTCAACTGGAACTGCCAGAAAGATCTTACTGTGAAACTTTTCTTAGTCCCATAGCATGTGCCCTCAAGGACCGCATTCCTAGAGCCCTCCTATATTCTATGGAATGTCCCTGAGTGCCAAGAAACAGGAATGGATAAAAGAAGGCTTTTGGACGCCTTTCCTTCTCACGTTTCAGGCAGTGTTGCAGTGTCTACTGGACCTGTTTCCTGTCCTGGAGAGGCCGTTACAGTGGAAGGCCCCTGAGCGCAGACTCGCTGGTCCCTGTGATGACGTGCTGCAGTTGACCCTGACCCATATGGAACCAGAGTACCGCCTCCTCCTTCGAAGAACCTATGCCCGGAACCTGCCTGCTTTTGTACGGAGGTGAGCCCCTGGGCTCCCTATCTGCCTGCTTTTGCTGGACTTAGATGTGATAAATGTTAATTATTACTATTACCGTTCATAACTTTGGTTCTCATTTTTAGGCTGGGGATCCTGACAGTGCGACACTTGAAAAGACTGGAACAAGTGATTATAGGCTACCTGGAAGTCTATGATGGACCTGAGGAGGAGGCCAGGCTAAGAATATTGGAAACGCTTAAACTTACCATCCAGCATTGTTGGCCAAGGTATGAGAGCCAGGAAGAGGGCCTTTTTCTCTTATTCTCTTCTCTTTTCTAGGAAAAGTCTAATTTTCATCTCCTTAGAACTGTGCCCAGAAGTGTCTACAACTTAAATAATTCAGTATGTGCCACATCAGAGGTCAGAATTCTTTTAAATGTTTGAAAATGATAGGTACTCAAGAAAAGGTGGTCAGAGATGGAAGAGATTTCTAAATTACGAGTGCATGGACCCGTTTCCATGCTGACACTGGCTACTTTTATTTCTCTTCACTTGACACCAAGGGCTGCCCCTCTCTCACCACCCATTTCTCTTGAAAGGCCCAGTCATACCAAGAGTAGGGGTCATAGTTCTAGAGTCAGAGACCTAACAAGTCAGAGTCCAGCTTCCTCATTTTATAGAATAGAAAACAAGCACAGCAAGGTCAAATGCCTTGAATGGAGGCACACAGTCTCCTCTGAGGTGGGACTGGAACCCAGAGCTTCCTGACTTCCAGTTCAGTTCTCTCCCCACTGTGTCGTATTCCCAATATTCCTAACCTGGGCCCATTTGAACAGAGGACCCTTCACTAGACCCACACAACCAAGCTTCATTAGAACCAGACCTGTAAGCCTGCTTATATTGGTATTCTTGCCTTCAGGTTCCCTCTCAGGGGGAAAAAAAAAAAAGAAGACATGAATAAGTGAGAGGACAGACCTAGAATAACATGAGATTATAGTCTTTATGGCTCAGAGTCCTTATGAGTGCTGAAGGGATTCAACATGAGAGAACAGTTGTGGAGTCAGATTAGTCAAGGGAGGTTCCAGGGGAGTTAAGTCTTGAGCTGGGCTTGGAAGGATGGAAAAGATTTAAATAGGCAGAGGAAAGGGAGGGATTCCAGGCTTAAGTAGTGGATTAACAAAAACACAAAGGTGGGAATGCATGGATGGTGGATATGGAAGACAGGGTGGGGTGTGTGTAGGTGGGGAGGCCAATATGGCTGGAGCAAAGGCTACCCTTTGGGGATGGAAGAAATGTTGGTGAACTGTTCATTCCAGACATGAGTTAGGATATAATCAGTAACTGAAATCTGTATGTACTATTAAAGTTTGCAGAGTTCACATGCATTATCTCATTTGGTCCTTAAAACAAACTTGTGAGGAAACAGGTTGTTCAAAGTCAAGTGCTTTGCTAGGCTCACGCTGCCAAAAAGTAGTTGAGAAAGGATTTGAACCTGGGAGTTAGTTCTAGTCTAGCAACTCTTATTCTGTTAAGTCACTAGATTTTTGAGGGAAAAGCTTAGAAAAATAATGTTAATTGTTTGAGAAAGCCAAACTGTGTGCAGGATATGGATGTGTTATTAGCTGAAGTATGGATTTTTACTGTTACTATGAAATATGAAATATAAATTTTTTTTTAAATATTCAAACATTATTTCCCTCACTCCAGTGTCAGATACCTACTCTAACACTGGTAATAATGGCGTAACAGAAATAGCAGAGGTATCAGAGGACATGAATTTAAATCCAGACTCTGCTACTTTGTGACTTAACCTTTCTGAGTGTGCTTTTTGTTGTTTTATGAAAGGAGGTTGGATTAATCTAGGGTCTGCAGATTTATTTCGGGGGGTCCATGAACTTAGGCAGGAAAAATAATATATTTTCACTAACTGAAATTTATTATTTTAATTATGAATTGTTAAAAATTTAGTTAATAGGCTTCAGCAGCCTGCCAAAAGGATGCTACATACATGAACCCCTGGAAGAGATAATCCTAAGACACTTTTCTACTCTGGATTTGGTAGACAGACTGTCCTAGTACTGAGATTTAGCAATTACTCATTCCCAAGCCAGGGGACTATCAGGTCTAAAGAAAGAGACTGGTTTGACTTCTCTTGGGAATTAAGTCTTTGGCCAGGTTTTGGGAAATATAGGCCATATATAAGAGGTCTATAAAGTAATAGAAAGAACACTGAACAGTCAAGAAACCGGGGTTCTAGTTGTGGCAATGTCTCAAACTTGTGGGTGACCCTAGGCAAATCACTTACCCTCAGTTAAGCCCCAACATTTCCTCTTTAAGATGAAGCATAGAGAACAGTTAATAGGGAGCTAGGTGGTTCAGCAGATCGAGTGCTGGGCCTGGAGTCGGGAACACCCGAGTTCAAATCTAACCTGAGATACTTACTGGCTTACCCTGGGCAAGCCACATAACTCCTGTTTGCCTCAGTTTCCTTCTCTACAAAATGGGGATAATAATAGCACTTACCTTGCAAGGCTGTTGTGAAGTTCAAATGAGGTGATTGTAAAGCACCTAGCAGAGTGCCTGGCATATAATAAGTACTATATAAATGTTAGCTATATTATTCTTCTAATCTTAATATTGTATGACTGATAAATTTGGTCACAACTGCTTTCTTATATTCCTGGACTCAGGATTCCTTGCAGACTAGAAATCTTCCTGAAGGCCCTCCTAAAAATGGTATGTGATGTGGTGAGGGACCAGAGTCTAACACCTGAGCCTGTGAAGGCAGCCCTGCTACAGGAGGCCACTGACTGTCTTATTCTCTTGGACCACTGCTCTTCTGGGCAGGTAACGGTAAGTAAAAATTGGCCCCTGAATGCCATCTCTGGTGATGATGCTAGGACTGATTATAACCTGCAAGATGCTATTCAGGGATGTGTATATTACTCACCTATGAATAACAAGTTGTTGTCAGGTTCTGGCCCCTTAATCTCTACTACTCCAGTGAGTACTTGAGAAAGTAAAACTGCTGTGACTACCCTAATTGTAGCTACTCTTCCTGCCCCTTCCCCTAAAGCTGAAATATTTTGAATAATGGTAGAAGACAAGGGAATAGCAGAAGGTATGGCTTGAAGGAATATACGTTGAGAACTACGTAGAACCTAAACGCCATGTGGTTACTATATGAAAAGGGTAGATATGAAAATGGAAACATGTAAACACTTTTGTTCGGTTTTTAAAGTCGTCAAACTTAGAATTAGAAATAAAACTGTGGATTATCTATAAACTGCAAACTGTTTTGAAACCAAAGCTGCATGTGCCCTCAAGATATATCCCCCTTACAAGTTTTCATAAATATGGCCAGTGCTAGTAGGATTTAGGGACTCCTTTCTTTACAAACATTGAATATCTTAGGCCAGAAATTAAAGAGGAGTTAGGGTCAGACCACCTTCCCAACAGCAATTTTTCCTGGGCCAGAATGGAAGAGAGACATTTTGAACAATATTAATTTATAAAATTTAAATACCATTTTTCTTCATTTTCAATAGAGTAATTTTTCTTTAAGGAATAAACATGTGCCACCAAGAGCAAATATAAGCAGTCATGGCCTCACTAGGCCATGAGGGCTGAGCAGGTTGAAGTTAGTGTAGTGTTATACATTCTGCTGATCTGCTGCCATTGGAAGGCCCATTGGTTGGTTACAGGGTAACTTCTCAACAACAACTCACTCAATATCTATGTGCACTTTTTTGTTTTAAACTTTATTAACCTACAAAAATCTCAGAAAGCTGGTGGTAGTGTTTGTCATCATTTGTGTATTCAAATTCTTGCATGTTAGCTGTCACACCTCAAAGTGATTTACATGATTGCTGCTTCTGTCCATAAGGTGGTAGAAAATTCCCACGGTATGCTTCCACATTAAATCAGAAGCTGTTCTGACCACTCCGAGAATGACTAGAATAGAATGTCATTTCGTTTTTTCTTCCTACTGTGGGTTAGATGTTGTAGAAGAGGAGAATCAATAAACCAGAGGAGATGAAAACATCAAAGCATGACTTTTTTTTTTTCTGTTTCAGAGTCTGCTGGCCAAAGCCGTCCAAAGTTGTGAAGATGACAGGGTACTAGATTGTATCAGAAAAGTACGGCAGCTTTCAGGAATACCAACTGAAGCTGGAATGTAGACAGATACGCTTCCTTTTAAAAAAAATAAATATATTTTTTCTTATTTGAAGATAAAATGTTACCTTTCCTTCATCATCCTAAGCTGAAGAAAAGGATTCCTATGTCTTCCCTATAGTTTGAATTACAAAGGTAGTTTCAGGAGCAGAAAGATTTCCCACTCAGTATAAAAGGGACTGTGGAAATAGGGTGGCCTGTTTCTTTTTTCCCCTTAACTCCATAGGAGCAGGGACCAAGAAGAGTAAAAAACATCTTTAGCAAAAAAGAGTGAAATCAAGGGCAGCTAGGTGGCACAGTGGATAGAATGCCAGGCCTATACTTAGAAAGACCTGAGTTCAAATCTGGCCTCAGCCATTTACTAGCTATGTGACCCTGGGCAAGTCACTTAACCCTTTTTGCCTCAGTTTCCTCATTTGTAAAATGAGATGTAGAACAAAATGGCAAACTACTCCAGTCTCTTTGCCAAAAAAACCCCAAATGAATCACGAAGAGTCAGACACGACTAAACAACAAGAGTGAAATCAAGTGGGAAATGATGATGTGCCATTCTAAAGCTGCTGGAATGTTTCTATCCACAAGCTCATCCCCAACCTGTGAGCATTCTCCAGCCTAACTGCTATTTTAATACATCTGCCTCTCCCATGAAAATCCTGATCAAAGTTTAAGGTTTTCTCCATCCCTTCACAAAGAAGAAAAGTATGAGTAGGATGAAAATAGTGTGTTTAAAAACAAAATCTTTAACACACAAAATGCCTGAAGACAATCAAGCAGTCTGGGGTCTGGTCACTGTTTCTGTCTCCTGCTCATACTCTATTTCCACATAGGCTCGCTTTCTCTTCACAGGGCCTTTCAATGGGGCTTTGCCTTTGTGTTTGGCAGTAGCAGCTTTTTCTTCTTCATCACTGGATTTCTCCTCATCTTCTTCACTGGTAGCTTCTAATTTATCCATATCCTAGTAGCGAGTGAAAGTGACAAAAAAAATGACAAAGTGTAATCATTCCACACGTGGACCGACTATTACAAAATGCCTTCCATCTCCTCCCACTTTCTCCAGGGAGAGCCACACCATCATGGCTTATGCTTTAAAAATTTAGAAACTGGATATTTGTGAGTGTTCCTGTTACTCTGAATATCCTCACATTCCATCTCTCCAATCTGCCATGACAGACCCTTTTGTACCTATACAACTTACCTCAAAATCACTGATGTCACTCTCTTCCACCTCATCGTCTGCCACAAATTCCCTTTTGTTCAAGTCCTGAAAGAGATTATCCTCCTTAGATTCAAAACACAACCAAAAGGATCAAGGCTGGCTACAGATGGCCAACATCTTTTATAACATCTCAAAATGATTCATTAAAAAATCCTACCAGAGTAAAGCAGGATCTGACTACCTTCTAGTGGTGGTAGTGTTTTTATAGGGTCAACCAATTAAAGGAAGAAGCACAATGTAAAAATAGTTTACACCTCAGGTATGCAAACCTAGCTGTTATTACTTGTTGAAATGCTTTCCCATTAACCTAACACAGATTCTCTTGGAATTAGAAGTAAACAAAGTAGGAAAGCACTCATTGCTAACCGACCAATAGAAAAGGCTCCCAAATGGTTAATATGTAGTCAACTTAAATATTGTTCATAACAAACATTTTCTAAGAAACCTGCCAGGTGGTCAAAAACATCTACTTGTTCAACTAGCTCTTCTATTAAACTGACTTGACTAGTTGGAATAAAGACTAAAAGAATCTTGAAGGTTATACTAGGCCTGTACCTTCCACAAATTTAGGTACAACTTAGAAAATCTGTTTGGCACTTGGTAATAGTTTCAATGATAAAGTGAGAGAAATCATGCATCCATGTATCATATCAGCAACTGATTCATTACAGGCAAGGCAGGTGAATGATAATTAGTTGTCAGTGATGGCAGAAAAGCAATCAGAACCAAATAGTCATTTCTGGCAAAGAGACTGAAGATACAAGTCACTGTGGTTGCTTATAAGGAACTAGTCATACAGGAGTCATGTAAATGTATGAAAAATGTCAACCAAGTTTACATTATCATCTTCTTCCTCCTCCTCCTCCTCATCTTTCTCTTCAGTATCTGAGGTGTCACTTTCAACCTCCTGATGTTCCAAAGCTTTGTCAAAGGCATGAATGGGGAAGTTGTAGATGTCACCATACTGTGGAACACAACATACAGATTTGGCTTTAATCACAAGAGGAAAAAAATACCTGGAATCCTACTTTCTAATAAGCAATTACCTAATCATTCCTCCCTCTTCCCAGTGCTCTACAGGTATAAGGTTATAGATGGTATATGTTAATTAACCTCCCAGTGGTCAAACATCAGACTCTTAAAGAATCCCTACCTTGTTTTCAATACTTTAAAGCAAAAGAAAGAAAAGGAGCTAGGAAGGCTTGAACTTACGGGCCAAGCTGTTGAGTTGGCTTGGGGCTAATTATTTCTATGAAGTCGAGTGTGATGTACAGAGGAATGTACAAACCAGCTTAAAATTTTTTTTCTTCAGAGGAGCAAGAGGATAGAGTGGAAGCCATGACAGTATAGTTTTCAAAAATAAAAATAGCAATAATTAATATCAAATCAAATAAAAAATAACTCCTATTTATAGTGTTTTATGGCTTAAAAAGCATTTTCATGTTTCACACGATAACCCTATGAGGGAGGTAAATACAATTGTTATCCATGTTTTACAAATGAAGGAACTAAGGCTCAAAGAATTCAAGGTACTTGTCAACAGTCATAAAATTAGTATTAAGAGCTAAGATTTCAATTTAATTCAATTCAATCCTGACTTCAAATCTTTTTACTATACCCATAAAATTCCCTCTATGGAAGATACTAAAAAAACCAGTGGATTCTCTTCTACCTTCTCATAATCAAGTCCCTCTCCCCCTTGTAAATGCCCTCACCAAAAAAATTAAAGATTCCCAATTTTCACTAGCAAGGGAAACAGTCTGAAAAATCTCAATTATATACCCCCGTTATGAATTGTCTTACCGTGTCTTGTTTTAGCCTCTCCAATAATTCCTTTTCTATCGCATTATCAAGCTGAGCAGCTATTAATGCTTTTTCCTAAAAGAAAAAAAATGTATTGCATCAATATAAAGAAAAAAATTAGCACCTTCAAGTCTGAAGAACTATAAGGTTTCAGCAAGAAAATATACATGTTCTACTATCAGTAGTTGCATTAACCAACAAGGAACTTCCTTCCCTAAATTATCCTATAAAATTGTCTCAATCATTTCTACAAAGTTAACAGCTAACAAATATCTTTATTATAACATTGTAAGACAAATGTGGAAAAGCCATTTGACATGCAAAGAGCTTTGCACATATATAACAATCTCCAGGACTGAGAAGTCCAGAGTCCTCAACTTTGCAAAGGCTAGGAAGAGTCACCATTAACATTAATGTTCTAAAAAATGTAATAGTGCTAAGGAATTAGAAGCTTTTACATAATGATCTCTGCTTTCACAGAATTCATCATCCAAAGGAAAGGAAGGCCCTTCTAGTTTAATTCTCTAAATGACGATTTATAAAACATATTTAAAGCATAGCAGAAAGGACATAAAGACAGACTTCATAGGCCTTATGCCAATGCTTGAATTCCTCTTCCCTAAATTTCTATACTCCTCCCCACCTCTTGCCTGCCCATCTTTACCAATCATTAGCCACCCTTCAGCTCAATTTTATGGTGTGCCTGCTACATTCAAAGTACTGATAGCAGTAAGACAGGATCCTTGCTCTTAAGTAAGATTAGTACAGAAGAGACAAATATAAAATATAAAATATTTTAAATAAATAACATAAAAAATATAATACAAAGAAGAGACAAATATTACCAAAAAAAAAAAAAAAAAAGAAACCCTAAAAGGTAGATTGTGTTAAGTGATAGATGAGAGGTACTAACTAGTACTTCAGAATTCAAAGAAAGGAGTTAAGATAGATTAGGATTTGGATAGATAAGAGACGGAGAGCTGGGGCAAGGAAGTCAATGGGGGAAGTAGCATAATTGTTTAAAAAATGATGAAGAGTAATTCAGTTTGATTTGAACAAATTATACTAGAAGGAGAATGAAAAGAAAAAGCACAGGGCGCTTTGAGGAATATTGAGTTGTCCAGTTTGGTATATAGAGGAATAATGGGAGACATGGCCAGAAAATTAAAGCTATCACACTGTAAAACAACTATATTAATGAGATTTATATTACACTTTAAAAATCTACAAAACAACTGACCTACTCATGAGTCTCACAGTACAAAAGATGAACTGAAGTTAGATACACTGTAAATCAATTAACAGTCTACAACAGGCTTGGCTAAAGGCACAGGAGGACCTGAACTAGAGTGGTGGTAGAAGCAATAGGAAGACCAGAAAATGTGAAAGACTGTGATTTTTACTACTGATGAAATACGGTGGGAGAAGCATAACTTGGAAGAGACAAAACACCGATGCCACTGATAATAATAGCTAGCATCTAAATACTGCTTTAAAGTGTGCAAAGCCATTCAAGAATATTACCCTATTTGATCCCCACAAAAACCCTGAAGTAGATGCCATTATCGCCCCCATTTTACAAATAGAAAAACGGAGGCAGGCAGAAGTGAAGTGACTTGCCCAAGATCACAAAGCTAGCAAGTGTCAGAGGTGGAATTTGGACTTGGGTCTCCCTGACTCCAGGTCCAGTGGCTCTGTCTCTGGGGTAACAGAAATAAGGATAAAAAGAAATAGTCTGGGGGATGAAACAAGATGAGTGAGGTCAGTTTCAGACATGATGGGCTTGACATGCTGGTAAGACACCAAGCCGGAAATACGAAAGTGAAGCATGGGAGAGAGCAAGCAGTCAGGAATGTAGCATAATGACAACTTTTAACTGTTTAGTATAAAAACGCCAAATTATCTCCAAAGGAGCAAACAATCCCAGAACAAACTATTAAAGTGGTTTTCCTTCTGGTTTATTACATATACCCTAAAATACCAACACTTAATATGGGATGAAAGCCATGGGACAATAACCTTGGTATTATGGAAAACATGTTTTATCAAAACATGTTTTATCAACACTATAGGATGAAGCAATAGTTCTCTTTTTCCAGCCAAAATCTGAACTATGGGCAGCTCAGAGGTAAAGCTAATCAAAGCATTCTCAGAAGTCCCTTCCCTGTGCCTCAAAATCATTTTACCTCTCGTCTTTTTTCACGCCTTTCCACCTTTTTGCTCAAGGGAACAAGTTTCCTCCTATAAGAGAGAAACACAAATTAATTAGGGAAACAATATCTTCTTCTACAAATTAGGGAAACAAGAAATTCTTCTACTCTCTTACAAAAT